ATGGTTATAGCAAACCTACTTGTGGGGATAGACATAGTACAAATGGCTTTTTACTTAGAGTTAGAATAAATAAAAATAAGGTAACATACGTCAAAATTGTTATTATGGACTTTATAAAACCAAAATTTATAGATATTAAAGTAGATCTGAAAGTTATCTCCTTCTAATAAAGATCTTCAAATATATAATGAGGCTCGAAAAAATCTATCAGTGAAAAATGTAAAAAAGTTCATCAGAGTCTACATCAGCTATTCGGATGCACAGAAATTCTTTATTTTTCAAGTGAATGTAACAAAACAAATAAAATATACATATCAACCCTTCAATTCGGGTTCTTATCAATATAAAATACATATAAATCGAAATTACATAAATAACGCAAATTCCAAATTGATGATTTCCGAAAAATTAGTTTGTTCTTCTTTATCCAAATGCCAAATTAGCTATGTAACGAATAGCGCAATGATTATGAAAAATATTACATTATACAATAATAATATAAAACTTACATAAAGTAAAGCCAAAGTCATATTGCGTCACTACGTAGAATCACATCGCTCATCAGATTGTCAGATTTGCTGTATAGTCATTCAAAAGAAACACGAAACGAAAATTAGAGAATTATTAAAATCATTTGTTTGAATTTTCTATTATATCCACTTACTATGTAAGCGTTTTCTCGCGACTTCACGTAAAGGACTTGTGATGTCGACAGTCAAAGATACAATGAGAGTCAAAATAATAAAGTCAAGTAGTTATTGATAAAATAAAAAAAAACTAAGAACAAAAGAGGATAATATCAACGTCAATTCAGTAAACAAATTTATGTATAGTTCAAAGAATATGTATTATTCTATAAATTCAAACTCTGTTTCTGTTGCTTTATATGGATCGCTTCCGAAATCAATCTTTTATTAAGTACTTTTCTTCATCTAATATTTTGACATTTCCCAATCAAGATCATGCTGATAACTGATTCTGTGTTCTGTTACTACGATTTAAATTTTATATTAATAAGGACTCGAAGAAATGAAATGTATATTTTATTTATTTTGTAACATTCACACGAAAAATAAAGAATTTCTGTGCATCCAAATAGCTCTGATGGGGTTTTTTACATTTTTCTTTAAAGATCTTCATACATTCCATTTAAAAAATAAATAAATAAATTCAAAATTTGCTATTGTAAGAAAAAAGTATAATCATGAAGACAATGTTAATGTTGATTATTTTGTTAACTAGGAAAACGATTGCAGTGTTAACTTTATTCATTGTAATAATAAAGGAGCAGCTGAGAAAAAATGTGCTACAGATAATAAAAACCAATATGATACGTGTATAGACAAGAATCTATTGAAAAGGAAAAAGAACCTGTTTATCTTTAACAATAAATATGAAAATTTATCTCAAAGGACAGATTATGAAGTACCACGTTTAAAAATATTAGGAAGAATAGAGACTGAATTCAAATTTACGAGTATATATTATGTATATATATATTAAAAATAAAGATATGTTGTATATGTATATACAGAGTGTCACTGTTAAGTAGCTATCCCGTTTTATCTTATAAACAGAGATAGCCCTAATAAATATAATCCCTGGTAGAAAAGTTTTACTGAAATTTTGCAGACATTTTGCTGAAAGTGATATTTTAGAAAATTTGTTAAAATTCCACTGAAATTTCACTGAAAGTGAACTTTTCAGCAATAATATTAAAAAATTGTTGAAATTGAATCAAAATTTTTCCATTCGCAAATTTATTCGAGCATTTCATTACAATTTGCTCAAATTTCTTTGAAAGAACGGTGGCAATTTAAAGTCAAAATTTTCTGTGACTGAAACGTATGAAATCGGTCATTCTATACAGATGAACGTGCTAAACTCGAATATGAAGTTTAAAATTTTTCAAAGTCCGGGGAATTTTGGAGAATTTTAAGTTTTGTTTTGCAGCAAAATATTGTTCAATGAACAATAAGGGTTGAAATGAATAATTAAATGATAAAAGTTAATAAAATATAAAATTTAATAACATGCCGGATAACAACAACAAACGTTTCGATCACGATTGGATCATTATCAATGTTTACAAAATAAGTCTAAACGGTAAAAAAACATAACATAAAGTCGATCAAAGATTAAACATGTATATTCTGTCAAAAAAGTACCGGGAATTGATCATTTAAAAAGCCCGCTTAAAGGAATTGTAAAAATTCTTTTTGTCGCTAAGTTGGCATAACTGTCCTCTATACTGACGCGGAGCTGGAGTGCCATCTGTCATTTAATGTGATTATCATGCTCGATTTTATCAGTTCATCTCAAGTGTGTTTTGCGATTTTTACAATGAATGAAAAGATCGAACAAAGAATTTGTCTCAAATTTTGTATTGCAAATAGAATTTCGTGTGCCGAATCGCTGAAGATGTTACAGAAGGCTTACGATGAATCGACTTTATCAAAAACACGTGCATATGAATGGTACAGTGCATTGAAAAGCGGTCGAGATGTGGTGAAAGATTTGCCTCGCTCTGGTCGGCCATCAACGTCTTCAACTGAAGTTAACATCGATAAAGTGAAGGAAATGGTGATTGAAAATCGTCATTTCAGTTTGAGAGAGATAGCCGCTGAACTTACGGTGTCTCACGAATCAATTCGTACCATTTTACGCGATTGTTTGGGCATGGAACGCGTTGCCGCTCGACTAGTTCCGAAAGACCTCAATTTTCTTCAAAAACTCAATCGCGTAAAGGTCGCTGAAGACATGTTAGAACGAGTTAATTCCGACCCCACATTCATAAAACGCATTATAACTGGTGATGAGACATGGGTTTACGAGTTTGATATGCAAACCAGTCAACAAGCTTCGGAATGGCGCCTTCCAACTGAGCCAAAACCGAAAAAACCACGTCAAAGTCGATCAAAAGTCAAAGTGATGTTAACTGTTTTCTTTGATTGTCGCGGTGTTGTGCACTCGGAGTTTTTGCCAGAAGGTCAGACGGTAAATAAAGAATATTATCTGGGCGTTATGCGGCGTTTGAGAGAGCAAATTCGTCGAAAAAGGCCAGATTTGTGGAAAACAAACTCATGGATTTTGCACCATGATAATGCACCATCTCACAAGGCTATCATTGTGAACGAATTTCTGACCAAAAACTCAACAAATATCATCGAACAACCACCGTATTCACCAGATATGGCTCCGGCTGACTTTTTTCTCTTTCCAAAACTCAAATTACCACTTCGGGGCACTCGTTTTCAGTCGATAGAAGACATAAAAGAGAATTCGCGTCGAGAACTGAAGTCGATTTCGGAAAATGCGTTTAAAAAATGTTTTGATGATTGGATTATTCGTTGGCATAAATGTATTATTTCGAAAGGAGCCTACTTTGAAGGCGAATAAATTTGAATGAATAATAACTATTTTGTGTTTTATTGACCAATTCCCGGTACTTTTTTGACAGAATGTAATTCGCATTTTATAACTATATGATTGTTCAAGAACTCTTCATAATATAAAATAAATAATAAATCAAGGGAAAAGTAAAAGTCAACCCATTATTGGCGGACTCAGACACGTATGTTTTAATCAAGAAAGATCCGATTAAAAAACAACAACTTTAAGGTCTTTGCTCACTGGATGGAGAACTAAAGGTTATATCAAAGATTCTGAACAAAGATTATAAAGCTTTGTATTGTAATGATGGGTTACTTCCGAGAGTTTATGGGTTGCCTAAGATTCACAAGCCTGGTTGTCTTCTCAAGATTATCGTACCATCGGTGGGCAGTCCGCTATATTCATTGATTACTTTTTTGCACAATAGATTATTTAAAATCATTCCGAAGGCAAATAGTTACATCAAAAATAGCTTTGATTTAGTCGATAAATTAAGAATGTTGCACATACTGGTGCACATGATTTAATTTCATTGGATGTGACATCTCTTTTCACGAATGTTGGATATAGCGGTCGATTGTGTGAATAAGCAATGGGATTTCATTTCGAAGAATTGCTCACTTCCTAAGAATGAGTTTTTGGGAGCGATCCGATTTGTCTTAGATTCAACCTTTTTTTCCTTTGATAATTTAATTTATAAACAAAGCTTTGGCACCCCCATGGGTTCTCCGTTATCATCGGTAATAGCGGACTTAGTAATAAGGAGATTAGAGATGGTGTCCTTGATGTCGTTGAATTTGGACATTTTATTTTATTATAGATATTGTAAGATAGTCCTTCAGTCATAAATTATAAGTTTAGTTTTCGCGCCTCATCGCTGGCGGCGCTCCGATCAGCCGCCACTACCGCACACGATTGGCCGTGCCTTGCGATTGGCCCGTCGAAAATACTCTTTCGGGATTGGTTGAATTGCGATGGGGCAGAAGGAACGAGATCCTGAGTGATTCCTTTGTACAGGATATAGTCCGTTACCATACTTTGAATAAAGTGTGTGCTTCATATAGTAAATATCGTATATCGAATAGTGAATGATACGCCCTTTCCTCCCAAAGAGTTTCCTAGATTATCCCTCCTTCGGAGAAGTCCTGACTACATTCCTTTCCTTTTCGGAACCTTGCGGTTTTCGGAAGTTATACAAGTGTTCGGAAGTGATCGTATTTGTCTTACAATATGTTGATGATATTTGTACCGCGGTTCCTCTTTCTAAAATCGAAGTTTTATTAAAACAATTCAACTCATTTCACCCGCGTCTCCAATTTACTACTGAAATAGAGGGAGAAAAAATAAATTTTTTTGATATTACTATATCAGGGTATTTTAGGAGGAAAAATTTGTGACAACTCTGTCCCTCTCTCCCTCGTCCTCTTCTCTCTTTCTCAATTGATAATGATTATAAAGTTATCTTTCTGAAAAAGGACGATCATTATGTAATGCAAAAATTGATTTTGCCAAATATTTTATACTTATTCGGTAAATATGTCGAATAGGGAAAACATCTCTGATGACCTTGACGTTGACATATGTCAAGATCATGACATTGAGTAACTTCCATCAGAGTTTAGCCGTCACTCGTTATTCATTAAAAAGTTATTATATTAATAAAAAAAGTTTGAAAGATGTCTCTTTGCTACTATATAAAACAGAAATTTTCTGCTTCCAAATATATTTTACAACTTTCTACGCGAAATGACTCTCACCCCACCTTTTCCTCTGCTTAGGGGCACACGACTTTCTATGCGAAGCGAGTTGCATCCTATCTTGCCAAGTTACTTCGCGTGAAAAATCATTATGTAAGAAAGGAAGGGTACAGAATAGTTTTTAATATTATATATAACAGAAATAAAATGTTATTTTTCAACAAAAATAGTAATAAGCCTCAATAAATTAAAAATCTGAAGGAAAAAGGCTATAAGCCTATGAGCTAAGCCTTCTTTTTTTGGTTATTTTTCAAACTTTTTTTGTTAATAACTTTTAAACGAATAACGAGTGATGGCTAAAACTTGTTGGAAGTCACTCAGGGTCATGATCTCGACAACATATGTCAAGATCAAGGTCATTGGAGAGTGCTCTCTTAAACAGGATATTTACCAAAATTTTTTTTAGATGTAATATGCTAAAAAGTGTTAAATTTTTTCGAACACTAAGGGGCGTCCGGCTTTCCACGTGAAGCAACTTTGGCGAGATGGAATCGAATTCATTTCGAATAAAAAGTCATGTGCCTCTAAGCAGGAGAGGAGATGGAGTGAGAATCATTCCGTGTGGAAAGTTGTAAAATATATTTTTTAATTCACGGTAGGAATGTAGAAATAAAAATTTGAAATCGATGTTTTTCACCATTACTACTACATGGATAAGTTTAACAAGTTGAAATTTTATATAAAATAATCTTTTAATCGAGTTTAACAATATGATGTACTCAAAATTGGATTTACTTGGGCATTTTTCATATGCTTATTCAGTTATGCTCTTTATCTGAAAACTTTTCTGAAAATTTTATAATATTTCTTTAAAAATATATTGAATATTTTTTAACAATTTTTTTTATAAAAGTATTGCAAAATTAATACGGACACGCGAAAATTAGTCTTTCGGCATTTATTTTTTTAAATAAAGAGTTTTAATATGTGTGAGAAGATCATGTGATATTAAGTGCGTTCTTATTTGTACATTATAATAATAATATATAATATGTACATTATTTAATATTTATTTTTTAAAATAAATACAATTAAAATATGAAGGGCTACGAGGAAAAAGCTAGATCTTGTTTGCCAATATTTACTAATCTATTTAAACATTCCAACAAATGTTTCGATCATTTATCAAGTTATTTTCTTTTGCTTATTCTTCTATTAGGACTATGTCCTGTTGCCTCTACTCTCTTGATCTTCCTGCGAAGTAGAGGTCCAGTTCTCGTACCATTTTTTAGATGATCTTTCTGGTAGTCGTTTGGAAGCGAGGATCTCCAATCTCACTCATTTTGCTAACCGGTCTAGTCCCATTCTATCCACATGGTCTCTCTAA